TCATCCATAGGAACTTTTTGGGGGATTCTTTCTGTGAAGACTGAGCAGATTCTATTCTGGGAAAGTAAAGGTTCCATAGCCTGCAGGAAATGTTCTCCACTGTTGTCATCAATAACAAAAAGCCCAATCCATGTCCACCCAAAATGCTGAAGAAACCGAATTATTCCTAGATATTGATGTTCCTCATTTGGAACCATGCGGTAAAAGGAAGAAATCTGCATAGTTTGAGTTTCTTCTGAGGCAAATGAACCATATGTGAGCTGAAATGATATTACAAATATTTTAGAGAGAGCTATGGAACCATTTCTGAATTAATTTGTCTCCTTACAGATTAAAGAGTTAGAAGGACTTATAGGTTTGGTGAACATTTAAATCAAGAAGTCCTTCTGAGTGATATTCTCAGGTTATGAAAATATGGGAAATTTTCAGGTATTTCCCCCTGTATCATTACTTCCCTAGTGCTGAACCATACATACTTGAGATTTTTCTGTACCTTATTTCTTAGATTCTACCTGTGGTATTTTGTAGAGTTGTAAGATATCTGCCATATGAAAGGAGGTTTCAAAATCAAGTCCACCAATAATGGCTACCAAGTTTTTCTGAGTGTCACACTTGTAGTTGGGAAGAAATCTCTGCCATTTGAAGAGCACATCCAGAGTGGTCCGATAGGTCATCTTTGTACGGAAATAGCTGTCATAGATATGGAAGCCGAATGTGATGTTGGGCAGGATCTCTGGGTCCTTTCTGATCTCTTTTACTGCAAAGGTCAAGGCAAGGGTGTGCTGGTAGAAACTGATCACCACACTGTCAATACAGTGAGAGCATTGTGTCAGGAAAGATTTCCATTACAAGTGAAGACATCCTTTGGCAATCCCAGTCTGACATACACTATTTAGTTGATAGATATCAACTAAAAGATGTTTCCAATGTCTTCTCAGGGACAGTCACTGCTACTACTATTTATTGTATGCCATATTTTCCTGGCTAGGCTTCGAAAATATCTTTAATTTAAGGAAATGTAAGCACAGGAAGCCTGTTCGAGGGGAAGGCTTTGTTTGAGAATTGTGCCAGGAAGGAACTTCTGAACCAGGAATAGGAAGCATGTAGGTTTGGGGTTTGGGGTTGTCTGCTCCCTTGGCACTCTCTCTCTTTCTCTCGTTCCCTGTGTGTGTGTGTGTGTGTGTGTGTGTGTGTGTGTGTGTG